GGCACTGTGCAGTTTCCCTTCTCTCCTCTGCCAGACTCTATCCTCCCTGAGCTAAAGAGTAACTGATCAGCTAACCAGTTATCACTGCACTTATCAGGTAAACCTTTCACATCCCTAACCACTGCTAAATTGGTGATTCCAGTCCATTTTGGTCTCAAAATGCATCAGTGCAGGTAAGCCCTTGTTCTAGATTTTACTGAGACCATAAATTCTCTGGAGCAGAAGGTCTTTTCTGTTCTGTTTGAATACTGTCTGGCACACTGGTATTCTGACCTATGTCTGCCATTCCTAAGTGGTACTACATGCACAGTGATGAGTTTCAGGTGAGAGGCCTAAGATTGAAATGACCAAGATAATCAAGATGGTCTTCCAGTTCTCTGCCTGAGCTTGTATGTCTAGATTGAAGTCAAAGGACACTGGCTGAGTGGCAAATAGAAAGCCCTGCCCCTACCATCTGTGTTTTAGGAACATCAAAGGAAGTTTTTAACTTACAGGTTGGCTTTTCGTCTTTAGATAGAATTTCCAGAATGAGTTAATTTTTACCAGTGAAACCATATAGTACACTTAGAGCATACTAAGGGCTCTTAAAACCTAAGCGTCTGCACATTAAACCTTGTTAACGCATGCTAAGTGCCCTAATTTCAGGCAAAGGTTAACTCTGGACTGTGATACCTAGGCTGTTAGTGTAACTTCAGTCTATTCCAAAAAGATAAAATAAGCGATTTGCAGTCCTCCAGCACCCCAGAATGCACTGGTCCCAGCCACCCCATCCTCCATCTGGAGCAGGGATAGAGTCGAGGTGTCTTTGCTCGTAGTCACACCCCTGTTTGCCAGCCCTCTAGTGGCAAGTCAGTGCTGTGCAAGGAAGAAACGATAGAAAGTCTTAATGTGCGAATGCTCACAGTATGTTCTAATTTATTAACACCAATTAACATTTTAGTTACAGATTTAGTATGGTCTAGGTGTAACGCGTAACTCACCTTTAGGTGCTGCCCTGCCCTCTCTTCTGCCTGACTTCAACTGACATGGCTAACTCTCTCTACTCATAGGCAAACTCAAATTTTAAACAAAAATTGTATATGTCGCTATTTTTTTCTGTTTGATTTATTAGTCCTTGTGTGGTAAATGAGTAAATGCCATACTTTAATAGTTGTCATGCTTTCCTATTGTGTAGTGTAACAGGGGACCCAAACCCTGTTATTCAGACACAATGGAGGGGGAGGAAAACCCAATCAGTGCATCCAGGACATGTGCTGAAGTGGTCCACATGAAGGCGGGAGACTGGGCAGATGGCAGTTAGAGATAAAAACTAAGTGAGACATTTGGGATAGGTTTGGGGATTGAAGCAGATGGTCCAGGAAGAGGAGATCTGTACCAGGGAGCCAGGGGGCTCCTGTCACTTTCAGAGAATGCAGCTGACTAAGTGGGGCTGCAGTGACAGGAGTGCAGGCTGACCCTTAAGAGAGTAAAACCCCTGTGCGTGGCTGGAAGAAGGCATGTGAAGGGAAGGGGGCAGGGTTACTAGGCATATAAATTCAGGCCCTGGGCTGGAGTGAGTAATCATGCCCTGTAGGCTGCAGGGAGAAGAGCTCCTGCAAGGATTCTCACTGCAGGAAGCAGTGCCCAGGGATACCCAAGCTACCCACAAGAGTGAGAGCAATACAAGTCCTGGGAGTTATAGCTTATGGAAGGCAAACGTTGTGAAAGCAGTTTCCATGTATTTCAGTTGTATTGGTGTATGTTTGTCTGTTTGTTTGCTTGTTGAACAACCAGAGAATTGGGAGTGGCTGTAGGGGCGGAGGAGGCCACAAACAGGATACTGGGTAAGTACCTTCCACTGCAAGGCTGAGGCCTGAAGAGCCAGAGCCCGAACCAGTAGACCTGGGGTGAGGTGCCTCAGCTAGAAGAAAAGGGGCTGAGGCCAAATAGGCTGAAGCCCAGACAAGGGTTGGTGTCCAAGGGGCCCAGCATTAATCCAGGCCAAAAGACAGAGAGAGAGAGAGAGAGAGACTATGGGGCATTGGGCCTGAACT